CATATAAATTATATATATATATATATATATATATATATATATATAAATACATAAATAATTTAAAAAATTAAAATTGTATTAATACGACAAAATGGAAAAAATATATAAAATTGTTATGCAAAAGCGAGCAGTAGGTAGAAAATAGGTACGTATGTTAAGGGATATACGATCGTGGAAGGCTGTGCTTGGTGTGAATAAACGACAATGAAACGGATCGGCATGCGTACACTCGCGGCCTTATTACCTGGTATGTTGCCTTCCTTAAATTTGTGCTTGATTAGCTTGAGGCTGCAAACAGTCGTGAATTGACAAATTAAGTCTTCGGTAGAGCGAGTTAACGGGGAGAAGATAAGTGTTTTCGCGACCAGCAATGCACCGTGTCGATCGCGTCGACCAGGTGACGCGCAAACAACACCACTTACAAATCATTTTTCCCATGCTTATCCCACGACTTCCACAATTCTGTATGCCATATTTTGCTGGCCATATTCCAGTGCTCCGGTCCGTTTAAAAAAATGGAGCTCCGAGCGTGCACCGGGAAAATCAACTCGACATCGCAGGTTAACGGGGAGAGAGTACGTATTTTTTCCCTTCGATTCGCCACAGTAAAGCCGTGGTACGCCGAAGCTAATAACGAGCGCGTCCCTCAAGTGCACGGAATATGGCGCGTTATGCCTGTTCTACAATGTTCTACAATAGCCTCCTTAGGATGGGTTCACACCTTGAGGCTTGACGAAAAGCGGAAAGCGGAAGAGCAGTAGCCAAGGGCCGATTGTGTTCCATCTTTCGGTAAAGTTTACCTGTTGTAAATCTGGCAATCCGCGCACGTGATTGGGCAATCTTGCTATACTTACCTCTAACAGGTAAACTTTATCAAAAGATGGAACAATCGGTCCCCAATCACAACCCGCGCTGGTAGTCGATTTTCTGTTAGGCCGGGTTCACACCTTTACGGAAAAGCGGAAAGCGGAAAAACAGTAGCCAATCGTCGGTCGCGTTCAGCGGACTCAACAGTTGAGTGAGCGCTCGCTATTATTGGTGTATTCTTTTAGATCATCCAATCGGAATGTTTAATCTAGAAGAATGCACCAATAATAGCGCATTGTAGATGACTTAAAGGCACGATCCCCGTTGGATATGTGTCTTGAGGGACGCATTTGGAATGACTTTCGGAACAACGGAAAAAGAATCTTGGTTCATTTTCATCCTTTCTTGTTGAACAGCGTTTGGAGAAGGTATTTAGTTGTGAATTTTCATAAATTATAATCCTTGAACATCTTACTTTGTGTTATTGGCAATCATTTAAATCGTACAAAATATTATTCGGTAAATCTTCTTGTCGTGAATTAATGTTGAAGTAATCGTCATATCTGATCTCTTTGGTAGTTAATCGATAGTAGTTACATGATGATTGAGTTTATGTGTTGGTTTTTGTTATATATACTAAGGTTATCATTCATTCCCTGATTTAGCAGGACATGTCCTGCTTTTAAATGATTTTAAAAGCGTCCTAATTTTTTTAAAACAAAATGTTTTGATTGTTATGAAGAATCAGCTCAGAAAAGTGATGTTTTAAAAAGTATTGTTTATATTTTTCCATTTTTTTGGACAAAAAAGCAAATACCCATTTTGTAGGTTGATTTATCATGTTGTTCATATGGTAACCTTAGTTACGATAGATTTATTTGATGCTACAATACATTAAGTTTAAATAATAGTAGTTATAATAAATAAAATGATTTTATATTTCTTGCCTATATAAGATATACATATATATACAGATTTATATGTTATTCAAATTTAAAATGCCTATTTCTTGAAGTTGTGAATCAGATGAATCTTTTTCATGAGATAATTGCTGAGATATAGTTATGTATGCATACAATCACATACTTTTGTTTTTATAACATAATTTTACAATTGCAGGTGAAAAATGGCTAAGACTTCTGAAAAGAAGGGGAAAAGTGCCATTAACGAGGTAGTGACTCGTGAATATACTGTGAATCTTCACAAGCGTCTTCATGGTGTTGGATTTAAGAAGCGTGCTCCACGAGCCATCAAGGAGATCAGGAAATTTGCAGAAAAGCAGATGGGAACGCCTGATGTTAGGATAGATACGCGTCTCAATAAGCAATTATGGTCAAAAGGCATCAGGTATTTTTTCAATAAAATTTTCAACAAAATCACTGAAGAGCTTCATGTTTATATGATTAAGATTTCCTTAATTATAATTTATTCAAATGTAACATGAATTACTTATAATATAATAATTTAAAAGTAAAATTAATAAGTATGAAAAATAAAGAGAAGATCATGTTAACATAGATTTAATCATCTTGAAATATGTTCTGATTCTTACCTGGATGTTTCTCGGGTATCTTGCCATCATTGTTTAATGTTTAATAAACAATAAGAATGATATCCAGGGAACACCCATGTGGAAATTCCAACATTCTTTTGAGTAATTATTCAGAAGATACTCTTTACCTTCAATTTCAATGAAATTACAATTATTTGATGTTTTGTTGTATGAAATAAAGGAATGTGGCAGTAAAATGTTATGTTCATGAAGTGAGATATTAATTATTAAAAAGTTTTATTTTTAATTGTTAAAGTTAATTATTGATGAGTTAGAAAATCTGTCATATTAGTGCACAAATTCTCTGCGTTAAGACATAAATTCTCTGCTAATTTTCTGCTTCAAAAGCAAATTATTTTCTATATAATTTTTGTTTTTACAGTAGAAAATTTGTATTTATTTGTATTAAAACAGAATTTGTGTAACCTTAATGTAACAGATTTCCTAATCTAACAATTGTTAACTTTGACAATTAATATTTTTGCAGCACATCTTGTAAACACAATTAGTTTTTTGATATCTCTATCTTGATACTTTTATATGCAGAATAATTAGAGAAATTATTGTGTAAAAAAATCATACTTTTATTTAAAAAAATGGCGACTTTAAAATTTCAAAAAATATGATCTTTTGAGACAAATTTTTTGTTTATTATAATGTACTTCCTTAAATTGAACAATTTTCCTCTAATATTTTCTTAAATCATAAAGAACAACGGACATATTTTAAATGAGCAAGTTATAGAAAACACCCAGTATATACAAAAATAATTATCCTAGGATATACTATATATTATTCTTTTTTTTTCCAGGAACGTTCCTTTCAGAGTTCGTGTAAGACTAAGCAGAAGGAGGAACGACGATGAGGACTCCGCGAACAAGCTGTATACTCTTGTCACATATATACCTGTTTCGTCGTTCAAGGGACTCCAAACTGAGAATGTAGATGCTAGCCAAGATTAATGTATTTCTATATAATAAATAATGACGAACCGAACTCGTAAGGTATTTCTTTTATCGTATGATCTTATGATATTTACATTGATCCATACTTATATATCCTGAATGATAATAAAATCTACAATTTTGTTTTTATTTTTGTCAACTTCTAAAGCATTTTTTATATTATGAAAAATATTTAACCATCAAAACCTGCTCGTTGATGATTTGTGATTTCTTGGTATTTATTTCTCTTTCAAAAGTTTTACCATTTTATCTGATTTCCTTTTTTTCATAGCATTTTAATTAATTTGAATAAAGAATTGAAAATTGTGATAATTCGCAGGAAAGAAAGGTGCAGTGATTAACACTTCAACATTAATCATTAGCAACATAAGTTAACTCACAAAAAAGGATTGAGATTATATATATTATATTTATCTCAGAATTATCAAAACCGCCTATTCAAGTATGTAAATAGTTATTGACAAGATATTGTTAAAATTAATCAGTGCTTTGCATAAATTTTTGTACTATGAGAAGGATAACTGATATTATTGATTTTTAAAATGCGTTGAAGAGATATAAATTACGAGAGTATTTCAATTTTTATCAAATGTCACTGTTTTAATTTACAAATCTCATATATAAAAAAAAGAATATAGCTACAGCGGTGGCAAATCATATCAGTGATGGCAAAAAATGAATTCGGTTTACATACCATCCATTTCATTATTCTTTTCCGAAGGAAAATTAGTATTAATTTCGCACTATATAATATCAGGCAACTACTCAGATCTAAAATGAATGGATGGACGTTGTCCAATTTTAGCACCTCATTAATTGGAAAATTTATTTAAATAGCGTATTATAAACAATCCGCATGCCAATGTCTCATACGGAACTTGGCAGTGAGATCAGTGAGGCGAATGGCCGCGTGCGCGGTGAACTTGGCGCGCACACGTACGCGGTACATCCGCAGTGTGCGGTATCGTGCGCTCGTGGTTTTGCGCGGCTGACTGAGTCTCTTGGTCTGGTCAGTAGTGTCAGTATGCGCCTGGTTGTGGATCGCGGCGTTGTGGCGCGAGGCGCACCGCGATGGAGCTGCGCGAGATGAACCGCGCGTACGGTACTGCGGAGGAGACCGCCGAACTCCTGCCGCAGCACGATAACGCACCCGAGTATGAGAGCTATTTCATCGAGTATGCGATGCAGAAGGAGATGATCAATCGTAATCGGTGCCCCGCGAGCCGACGATTGCTCAGCCAGGCCGCACATCTGGACTTCAATTTTCCCAATAGCAATCACTCCAAGGTTGGTCCTCCCTCAAATTGCGGTTCTCCACGTCTCTCCTCCATTCTAGAGCGTTTAATGTACTCATGGAGAAACTTCTTCATTCACCAAGGCGGTGCCCCGTGGGCACAAATTCGACGGCCGCGAGCATGAGAATCTCGACGTTAATATTCACAAATGATCATTAATAATCAGAAAGAAAGACATAGGATACTGAGGATTCGCATGTATTAAGATCAGATTGCATTAAAAAAGCGATACTTACACATATTTTTCTTCTTGCCTTTCTTTTCTTAACTTGAAAGTTGACAATCTAGAAAGAACATAAAAAAAATCTTAATCTGCACATCTGTGCATATCAATCATTTTTTATTTGAACAATCAAAGCATTATTTTGGATTTACACATCACGAGGCGCTGTGTATTACATAAGATTACATAAATGTTTTTTGTTGTTTTTTATCCGTTTTAATAATAAGTATATATGTATACATACTATGTGTTTTTTTGCAAAAATGTGATTTTACACGCGCGATATTTATTAATTTATAAATTAATAATTGTAATTAATTTATAAACATTTATTACTATTAATTTATTATTATCTTCATTAATATAATATTTAATTATATTACATTAATATCTGTTCATTTAATATTTATTTGATTTATTATTAATTCTTTGTTATTACATGATTTAGAAATTAGATATTTTATTCAACTTCTTTGAACTTTTTCTCTCTCAACGTCATTTATTAGACTTAGACATTTCTTAAATAAATCTTTTAGACTCTTCTCTTCTTACATTTAGGAAACAAAAAATTCTCTTCTTTGGCCTTTATGAATTTATGTTTTTTGAACAAGTACAATAAAAGTCGTAAATTAGGATAAAATTTCTTTACAAAGATCTCTTAAATTCGTTAATTTAAGATCATTCTGTCAGGATTCACCATGTGCCGGAATCACCATGATCCACACTTCGAGCGAGAATTGGCCGCCCTCCAGGAAGCGCGAGGAGGCGAAGGCCTTGGAGAACCTTAGGAAGAGGGTAGAACAGAGCAAGTTATACAAGACGGACCGAATTACCGATCCCGTCGTAGCCACCACGTCCTCGATAAACTATGAGTTGACTCAACAACAACTGGACAATCGACCGAAACTTCTGAAAAAGGTAGACGATAGAAATTCTCGCGATACGCGCTCAGAAAGATACTGCCTCGTTCGATTAAAGTAAAATGATCTCGATTCTAGATAAACTCATTTAATGATTTAAGTCCCTTTTCCTTTTTTTTTCTCTCGAATCACGTATTTACAATTGTAATTGCTAGATGATCCAATGAATTGAAAATGTAGATTCCAAATTGCGTCAACTCCGAAAGTAGGTCAAGATTACATTGAATATATTTTTTAAAAAGATAAGAAATTGTCATGTTGCATTACCATAAATGTTCAACTACCATTCTGTCATTTTTAGAATAATTGCGAAATGTAAAGTTAATAGTAATAACTGTGAGATCGTGTTTTCTTGCACATCCAGGCAACTAAAAATGACGTTATGTGCCGAATACGTCTTAAGTTCGCGGAGTAATTTCCATTGTGTCCTTGGCTTATCCGATATGCGACTGTTTTCGAAATGGAATACAAAATCAAAAGAGCGAAGGAGCACGCGCGCAAAGTACTTGGGTCGATACTTTAAAGTCAGGAGCGGCGCACTGTTGTTTCGGCTCCTATGCATGATCCTGCCGTACAGGATAATAATAACAATTACATCAAAAACTGCACCTACATTGGTCTATACTTACAATGTTTCGATTGACTATCGTTCTGACAAATTTTCGATTTGACCATTCATTGGTGTCCAGCGATCCTTGAATTCTTGGATCCTAGTATTATACTAAAATTTTATGTATTCTAGCAAATTTCTGGAAAACCTCTGAAATTTTAAAGCTGACCTAAAATTTGTCATTTTTTTTCATTCTAAAAAATTAGAGCGTAAAAACAAAAAGAAATAATAAAGAAAAAAGTTGTGTTCGGGTTCTTCCTTAAAGATGTTTTATAACAATAAGTTACCAATAGAAAATTTGGATTTAATGTCTAAAATAGAATATATAGTAGAAAAATCGTTTTTATTGGTGAAATTTTGTTTAATATTATTTATAAAACAATAAATAGTATTGTTTCAAATTTGTCAGCATTTTAATTTATTCATATCATATTCATATATAGAAATTAACTTTAATAAAGAAAGCATATAATATTGCGTGAATTGATAAAAATTAATTAAATAATGAAAATTCATAATGTGTGAAATTTTCCAGGATAAATCCTGGAAAACCAAAATTTTTATCTGGAATGGTCTGGAATTATCCTTTAATTAACTAGCCAGATTTTGCTGGACACCAAATAAGATTCTCACGAAATTATTTCACATGCAAATTGAAACTTACCTCGTATCGGGATCTGCGGAAATGTTCCGAATCTAAAGGCTGAATGTATATATTTATATATATATATAATATATCATAGTGACCTTTAAATTTTAAAAGAAAGTTAGAATCAAAAATGTAGACTAAGATCTAAGAATTTATTCAGAATGCAGTAATAGTTCAATATTTAGATATGGAAGAATCTATAGAAACTCGAAAGAAATTGTGAATTTCAATATTTGCGAGTCTGATGATTCCGGAATTTAAGAATTGCACGACTTACCCACGTAAGTCGAAAGTTCAAGGACGTACTCTCTAAAATCTTTGGAATGAAATCTAATTCTAAAGAGTGGCAAAATGTGACGGTTGAATCATCGTTAAAAAAGCTTAAGTGTTATTTTTTTAAATATGAGATTTCATTCTTTAGAATTAGATTTCCAAAAATTTTAAAAAGTAAGATTTAGAAAATTTCGAAATCTGCGAATTTAGGAATTCGCGAGAGTTTGAGAATTTACATCTCACAATTAAAAAATTTCAAGATTCGTGGCACCGTCCTTACAAAAATTTAATACTGGAAGGTAGTGATTAATTACTAATTATAAACACTGAACAACAATGCTTATAATCAATCACTATATTTCAATATATCACTCGTAAATTGATCAGTATTGAATTGGAGAAATCCATAAGGACGGTCGTATTCGAACATTTAAGAAAGTAAGCTCTTTATAAATCGAAACACGAGAACAAGGTTGCACGATATCGCGTGCAGCATATCGCGTAAATCGTAGATGAAATGATTGCCCTGCATGTATCACAAGGAATTTTCTTGCAGATACTCAGCAACCGACCGATGAGTATCACATACGATAGGAGTGACTTGGAAACCGATTGGCGCGACAGCGAATTCATCACCGAGTGCCTTTGCTGGCACAATGTTTATCGGCAACGGCATAACGCACCTCCGTTGACCATGTCACCGCAGGTAGTTACAAGAACGCGCGATAACGGGCACGGAAACGGTCGAAAGCCATGCCATAAACTTAAACGATACTTATACTTAACATTTATTTATACCGCGTTATTACTCAACGTTGCAGTTGTGCGAGTACGCTCAATCATGGGCGAATCATTTGGCGCACACGAACACGTTCTATTATAAAAATGATCGGAACGTAGGTCACAATCTTTATTGTCGTCCTGGTGGTGCGGTACCTGGCGATATCACGGGGCAGGAGGTTGCGTCTTACTGGTATTCCGCTGTGAAGCAATACGACTTTCTCAAAGAACCAGATATTCTTCACGCCAATGTAAACGCAGGTAAAAAAGAGATTATAGGATCTAGAGTTAAAGAAGTTATCAACTCGGTTAGAGATGAAAGAAGATAGGTGCTATAAATGTTTGCTCTTCATTATATAATATATTACATATATTATGTTATATAGTGTTATATTTGTAGATGCATGCTGAATTTGAATGCAACTAATTAATTTAATTTATGAAAAATGATTCATCAAAGGTACATCTTCCTAGGTCATTTTACTCAGCTGATATGGGCGAGAAGCTGTTACTTTGGGGTCGGAAAGGCATGCAGTAGAAGCGGCAAGGTGATCGTGGTGGCCAACTATGAGCCGGTGGGCAACGTGTCCGGTCAATTTCAGAACAATGTATTTCCGCCATTACCTGAGAATATGAATGTGATGCTTTCGCCACCCACTATTCGGATGCCGCGAGGGCAGTACGAATTACTGAAATCCACAGCGTCATCCTTGCCGCCATCGTTACCGCCTCCGTTGTCGGACACCGCGTCCACCGCTAGCGATACTACATCCGTCAGCTCCGGCCAATAATACCACGGCCGTGCAAAATGCCTTCTCTGTATTTGCGCGCGATGGGCCGGACGTTAAAGAGATCGAGAGAAAGACCGACCCTTCGTGTGCTGCGAATCAAAGACTTCGGACACGCGAAACACGATGACCGATATCTCTGTTGGGAAAAACGTTTTAGAAGCTTTTCATTTATTTATTAATACATATGTTTGAAAGACTTTTAAAGTTTTTTTAGAAGGTGATGTGGTTAAAAATGCCATCTCGATGATATGCTCAATTGTCATCATAAACTCAAGCAATTGACTATTGGAAAATATTGCAACATTATTTTTTGTCTTATTGTTGTAATTTTATCCCAATTCAATCGTAATTCAATCAGTAATTTTCCACGGAAATGTTGGTCATCAGGTTTTACTGCCAGGTTTCAGTTACGCTTGCAAAAGCAGTGATAATCAAAGTTATACCGAGCTTTGTCGTGATAGCTAATAATACAAATTAAGCAGTACAATCTGCGATATAATTATTGATAGAGGCGCAACTTTTTATTTATTTACGCATCCTATATAAAAAATAATACTGAGATATATATGTGTGTGTATGTGTGTGCATTAATGTCATACATATGTGCACACATATTATACATCCGCGCGCGTGCATACATACATACATAATAATGTGTATATGTATAATGCATTAGCATTATTAATATATGTATGTATAAAGGCAGAAAGGCAGAATTTTTTAAAAAAAGGAAGATAAGCAAAATTAATAAATTTAAGAAATATTTCAAGAGAGGACAATTATATAATTGAAATTGTATTAAAATAAAAATAACATGACCAATGACTATTGGAGTAGTACAAAGTTCCTTGCTTTCTCTTGATAAAATTTCAATGTCTTCCTTTGTGAGCAAATATGTAGTACAAAAGGAAAATATTTTTTAAAGAGTTACGTCACTGTCTATAACATATAATAGAAGCTCAAATTTAGAATAGCAATATTTATTTCCAATTTGAAAAAAAAAGTTAAAAGTAATCAGAAGATAGTTTGTTGCTTATTTTCTGATTTTTCTAAGTTTATTCGCTAAATATTCGTTACATTTCACAATAGTAATGTGAAATTGTTCACAATTCCCAGAAGCTCTATCTATTTTGTACGTCAGTTTAGAGTTGGCATTTTAAAAGTTTTCTAGTCATAGCTATGTAAGATATATTTGAGAAGCCTAAATAACAAATTGCGCCTAGCAAGGAGATATAATACTTTGCACATACCTTTCCGTCCTGTTAAAACTAGAAATCAATAATTTGCGGAATGAGAGTTAAATTTTTTAGCGTTTTTAGCATTAATGAATGTTCCTATCGTGAATAGTGAAGAATGTGTTTCTAGATTGAACTGAAAAAATAATCGAAATTAAAATCGGAAGAAAATGTTGAGCGAAAACGAGAGAGAGTGCAATCAGAGTGTTTTATGTTGCATAGAAATATTTGTGAAATATTAAGCCTAGAAAAGCCGAATAGGATCTGCGATACTTAATCCTAAATAAAATTAAGTGGAGAAAAAACCGATTGAAAAGGTAGTGCGATTTAATTTTGTATGGTGAATTTAAAGAATTAAAAGAGAAGTTATTTAGCACCGTGTGCGCGCGCGCACGCGCGTGTGTGTATGTTCTATAAGTATACGCTAAAAGATTTTAAGGAGTGATTTCACAAAAATTCTAGACGAAAATTTCATATAACCACATGTTCGAAATGGTTTAGTTTCAAAGATAGGTTGAAGGTTGCCAAAACTGCATCAAGGCATATAACTCAGAAGTTATATGAAGAATATTCTTAAGCTTTTTACAGCATAATAAATTGCAATTTTTTTCCTCTCTTTTGTTATCTTTTTATAATTTTTTTGCATTATAAAGTTTTAAATGAGATTTTTTCTGGTATAGTACGATTTTGGCAACGAATAGAAAATCTATTGTCTAAATCGCACCATACTGATGTTCCTCATTTAAAACGTTATACAGTAATGTAAAAAAATTTTTAATTACATAAAAAAAGGAAAATTGCAATTTATTGTGCTGTTAAAGACTTAACAAAATATTTTTCATAATTTCTGAAATACATAAAATAAACGCTTTGTAGATTTACAATATACATTTTTACATAATAAATGTAATAAAAATGTAAGAAACATTAGGCAACGTGCGATTTAAAAGATTAGAATATGTGATTTAAGGGACTATTGCATCATGATGCGATTTAGAAAACTAGAGCATTTTGTAAATTTTTATTTGTGCGTTATTTCGATTTACAGAGACCTCACAGCTGATTAGTAATAGCATTTAAAAAATTCTCCAATTCCGATTGATCCCGATCTGAATTCAAGACATTTAAAAAATTTTGGGTTATCATATTGAATTTACCGTTCTGTCAACGGCATCCCGAACAATTCCGTTTATGAATTTAGAGTTTTAGAATGCAGACGTGATAGAAGGAACAAGAAATAAGAAATTTCAACCTATCAGAAACCGAATGTATCAAAATACATAGTTTCTGATAGGTTGAAATTTCTTATTCCTTATTCCTAATTCTTTATTTCTTTTATTGTGTCTATACCTTTACATAGCAACTGAGTTAATTGTTAGTATATTGGTTGACCATATTGCAGATTTACTATTTTTAATTCTATAAATCTCCGTCTTCAAGCTTATGATTAGCGACTCAAAGAATCCTCAGTTATCGATTTTCATGGAAATCAAGAGAATTTTTTTTTAATTTTTCCATCATATTAAATCTGTCATTTTAAATTTCGAAAATCTGGCTACAGATTTTTCATCTGAGACTCAGAAAATAATTAGGTATCGATTATATAAAATTCGGATGAATTTTGACTCATCTGTGTGATAATTCAAGCGTTCTCGTAGTACTTCGTGAACTATAGCCATCGTTAACTATAGACTATCATATTGAATTTCCAAAAAGACCAGGGTATCGATCATGTAATTTTTTTCTAGAATCGAAAAGAGAAAATTTTTAGTGAGTGGCTTTTTTAACAGAGAATGCTCCATATACGCGCGCGCGTGCGTGCGTGCGATGCGTGTGTACATACATATATATTTACATTTTGTATGTATATACATATGTTTAGTGCTAAATGTCAGATGTGTGAATATAAACCTTTTGAGTAACTTAGCTTTATCCTCGTTTAAGGGTCTTTTCTTATAAGGATCCATCTTTACAACGATTTATCCCGATGGAGATAGAATTGAATAGATTTATGTTTTAGGGCAAATTAAGCATAACGAAGTCTTTAATTACTAATTACGACAACATGAGATAGGCATTTGTTTGAAAGCGATAATTATCACGAATCTCCTACTTACAAACACAAATACGTACGTCTGAAATCTGCCAGACTATTTGATAATCATTATTATAAAACAATGACTAGCTAATTAGTTATATTGATGTTTCACATTTCGCCTTGTGAAATTTGGTGTAAAGTACAATATGAGATGAAATATTGTATTTTATCCCCCGATTATTCCTATAGAAGAAAAATGAACGAGAGAACTAAATCCATGAATGAGATTTTTAGTGTATATGTAATAGTCGCTTCGAATGTTATTACAGCGATTTTAGTATCCTAAATAAGATATAATATAATGCGGGGTCTACAATAGAAGTCGTAGGGTCTTAAGTCGTAGAAAATGAATTAATTATAGTTAAAAAGATAAGAAGAATAATAGATTACGATTGATTAATTTTCTACGACTTTTTTAAGATACTCTATTGTAGACTCACGTAATGCTTGATGTATGCGTATGGCGAGATTGTTAACAGATTAACATGAATTATTAGAGGGAGGGAGGTTTCTCAGGTATGTAATGTTATTGCGTGACGGTTTCAGTAAACGCAAATTTACAGTGGTTTTTGTAATTCGACCCTGTTGGCCTTTGATTTGCTAGAGTATGTACATTAAAGATAGATTGTTATGAGATAGAGAATTATTTTTCACAAATATTGTTGTGGAAAGAAGAGAAGTTATTTTTCGCTCATAGTCAACGGACTAGTACCTCGCTTTATTAAACGTGAAATGTAAGATGTAATGCAAAGCGTAAACTGTTTATACTAGATTCTCGCTTCTGTAGAATCTTATGTGATGCTACGTAAAACGATAAAATCGTTGATTAATTGTTAATCACACATGAAATACAATGTTAACAATTCACTTAATCGAATTACTCAATTATAGCTTAACTGCGCTTAGTGCAATTCAATGTGAGGGTGCCGTTTCGTTGTACGCGTCATGGGACGCGACAGTATCCTGAGAATATCGCCCGTGCTCACGACATAAAATGGCGTGCGTTCCATGCACAATGTCGATAATATAATGTTTACTCAGGATCATGACCTTGATAATACATGTCAAGGTCAAGGTTATTCAAGCTACATAAGTTTTTGTAAAAAATTATCGAGGCTTTTATTAATCTTAAATATGTTAAATCAAATTACCGAAAGGATATGGCGAGTTTGAAATATTGTTCATCGCTTTAGAGTTTCTTTTTTCGCATGCGAGCTGTTAAAAACAATATGCGATAGTTCAATATTTTAAAGTGGCGCGTGTACACTCGTCTGATGACAATCGATATTGAAAATTGTTTTGTGTACGTACATAACGATCGATTTGTAAACTAAGTACGCACGAAATGCCCGCAGATTTTAAGGACAGATTTCTTAATGAATTTAGAACTATTTTCTTTCAAAACTATTTTTATTTTCAGCAAGATTTTGTTGAAAGAAATCATTTCCTGAACTTTATCGATTTTTAAGATTAGGTACTTTCGCATAATTAGATCTCAAATGTATCATATAATACTCTCTCAATGAAAAATTTAATTGAAATCTGTTTTAATCTGCTATTGAAATTTGATGTAGGAAGATATAAGGTTTGTGTTAGATTATACATTGAAGATCGAGGATTATGAATTGAAGATTAGAGTTCAACTAATTAAAGTGGATTAAAATTAT